TATATTGAGCCACTTAGTTGGGACAAAGTATGCTCGATTTTGGGTAAGGGGAAGTGAGACCGGAGAACACTTTCATTCAACTTGGTATAGTCACAACATAAGCGAACTGTATCGCCTTTATCAACACATACTATTGGACTAACCCATGTAGTTGGAGTCTCAATTGGCTCTATAATATTGAGTTTCAATAACCTATCTAATTCTGTCTTTAGCTTAGGGAGCAGGGCTAAGGGCACGGTACGAGGTACAGATTGTACAAAAGGCTTAGCGTTTGGCTTAATCTGGATTGACATTTTATTTTTAAATTGCCCTATTTCACTAAAAATACCCTGAAACTGTCTAGAAATGCTCTCTAAGGTAAATTTAGACAAACTGTCCTGATTTTTCCTACAATTAAAATTATAATCGCTAATTAAACAAACATTTTTAGTAGGAAAATTTAGAACCTTGAAACTAATTATAGCATTTCTGCCCAAAATTGGCTGCCTTAACTTCCTAACTACATAAATGGTCTCTTGGTTCGTTTTACCCTCATATGTTAAGTTGACTTTTATTTTACCCACTGTATCTAACCTATGATTGTCAGCTGCTCCCACAGGCTCACATAAAATTAACTTACTTATGAATTCATCAGGTAACAACTCATAGGGAAAACAACTGACATCTGCCCCAGTGTCTACGAAAAACGGAATCTTATGTTTATTATCAAGTAGAATGTCTACATACCAACGGTCCTGTTTATCAAGGTATACTTGATCAATAAAATTTCCAACTCCGTCTTCATCCTTGGTTACCTGTGAAACATTCTGCTGTTCCTGCTCCTCAGAACTCAATTCAGAATCACTGTGCTCCACTGCACGTACTGACTTTTTATTTCTGCACATTACACTCCAATGTCCCCGTTTCGCGCAGGCACGACAAATTGACGATTTTGCTGGACATTTGGCTCTGTCTTCACATGTACTCAAACCACAGAATGCGCATCTTTTTGTACGAACCCTGGACGAAGCAGAAGGCATTTCTTTTGATTTGAAATTTTGACCTGTGTTTTGACTACTACTTTTTATTGCACTGACCGATTGCTCTTGTCTGATTATTTTATTTTGGGTACCCTGTAATTCGGCCTGCCTCACCGCTGTAATCGCTTCGCACAAGGTTAATTTGTCCCTTAACTGGAGCAGTTCACTAACTTTTTCATTAGCTACACCTATGACGATTCTGTCACGTATCAGCTCTTCTTTCAAGGCTCCATAGTCGCAGTGCTCTGCTAGCGCATGCAAGCTGGTTATGAAATTTTCGAATGGTTCACCGGGTCTCTGCACCCTCGAATTAAACTTATATCGTTCAAAAATCACGTTTCTCTGTGGAATAAAATGTTTATCAAATTTAACCAATATCTGAGCATAAGTTTCAGTGGCTGAAATGTTCTGCTGCATCAAAATCTCCTCAGCTTCGTTTCCCATGAGATAAATAAGCATGTCGATTTTTTCTTTATTAGATTTCTTTCCAAAACCACTTACTGACATATAACGCTCAAAGCGTTTCTTCCATTGAGGCCACTGTTGTGGCTGGGAAAAATTGAACTCGGTTGGCGCCTGAACATTCGCAAACATTTCCAGCGACGACCCCGCTGTTTTATCATCATCTCCGGGCATCTTTTCTCCTTTTTTTTTTTTTATAACAAAACACTAATCACTTGCCTAGTATCTGCCAGGGCCGATTCGCAAAATAGGTTATATTTTTTTGATTAATTTCCACAGAAGAGAACGAAACCCAAGAATCAAGATTCGATCGCTCACTCACGGTCTTCTTTAACTTCCGTGAGGCACCGCTGCCACCATGTCGTATTATCTTCGGTGAGAAATAATACTTGTGTATTTAATTAAGGGTTTTATTGTGACAATTCTATTACATGTCTCATTCACTAGAGATACCCCGTGACACTCCCTGACAGGTCGCGTTGTCTTGCCAACTTTCCTTACTCCCAGAGCTCTGGAGTAAGACGTGTAGCTATACATCAGGCCTTATGGCACAGTATAAGTGCCACTTCAATGACTTTCAACTTGAGCGGCGTATAAGTGTTATACTCTGCCGGAGTATAACACTTATACGCCGCTACATATGTTTTCCATAGCAATTTAAGGTAGTTCACCTGTACATACACAGGTATAGGTGCTTATAAAGGTGATCCTTCTAAATATGAATTTCATGATTTAAATTAAAATTCTGCACTATTCGGAATAAAGATTGTTTGAAAATAAAATATTTTATCCACAATCATAAAATAATGGCAGTTTTATCCACTCATATGAAGCGTCTAAAGTGATACTTTATTCACTAGTGGAATGATAGTATATTACATACCGAGTAGGGAAGTGTTTCATCCTCCGAGGTTTGTATACTCTTTTATTTGCAAGCACACCATTAATTATGATTAGTCATTTAATTTTTTTAATAATAAACAAATAAAACAAATATGACAAAATGTGTCATTCACTGTTTTGAAGTTTTTACCTGACATGTTCTCATTGATGCCAGCAAAGGTAAATAAATTACAGTGAGGGAAATCGGTGAGGGAAGTCGAATAGGGAAATCGGTGAGGGAAATCGAAGAGGGAAGTGACACAGGTAAAGTGACACTTCCAAATTTTTAAAAAATCAATAATGTCAAGATTACATATATGGTTGCAAATAAAATAACTTTATTCCACTAGTGGAATAATGAAATTAAGAAATACGAAATTTTTATTTTTTTTATTGATATTAACATTAACATTTATATTAATAGATACTCCGTTGTTTGATATGTCTCCTTTAACTTCGTTATTGTTGGTAAAAAGGTGATAATTTCCATCAGCTTGGGATCGCACGTTTATGGGTGTTTTGGCAGAATTACCAGGAACAGGAATAATGGGTGTCTCCTCTTGTAAGGGACACCTATTTTCCTCTTGGATTTTGTTTGCAATACTAAGCTTATTATTGGAAATGGAATCCTCCATATAACTTTCAGCAACAGACGAGCTTTTCTCTTCCATCCGCCATGTGTATGTACGTGTGATTGTGGATAAAACGTTGTATTACCAAGTATTACATTTGTGTTTTAGTTGCATTTTATCCACTTAAGAAAATTAAACGCTCGAACTTCGTTCTCGCGTTTAAACATTCTTGTGTGGATAAAATGCTTCCTAAAACACTTATACAATAAATTACTAGTATTTCATTCGGAGTATAAGTATTCTTCATGTGACTTGCATTCTTGCGTCACATAAGTATTACTTATACTCCTAATAGAATAAATATCTATTCCCTACAATGTTTAGATTAAAATGTAAAAAAAGGAAACTATGTAATATCTAATCACTAGAAGTATCTAAAAAAAAAAAATGAGAAATATGAAAATTCCCTATTATGGGAATCATGGAAGATGAAACAAAAGTATCAAGTATTACTTAGTGGTGAGAAAATAGTGTTTAATAAAAATGGTAAAATTAACAAAAAATAGAATAAGAAACCTATTTTCTTTGTAAGTAATCCATATCTCCATTTCTGCATGGTGTTCAGTGTTCATCGAGGTGTTCATACTTCATTCATATACTTATTTCTCCACAATCTCCACAACCTTATCGAAAATATACCTTTCCCACTTGTTCCTAATACAAAGATTCTTATTGTGGATCTTGGAATGTCATAGAAAACGGTAGCGCCGTATATTGTTCTCTTAGCGTTTTGGACATCTTCAATTGGCTTTTTCAGGGCCAACTTGGTGTATCTTCTACAGTCCGCACTTTTAGAGGTTCTACGGATATTTCCTGAGCGCATTTGCTCTAGAACAAACGAGAATTTGTACAATACAATGGCAGAACATGTTTCAGTTTGCCACATCATATACCAGTTGCCTCAATAAGTATTTTTACCAGGCAACTGGAACCCAAGTTGTGTTCCCATTACTTGAAACTCTAAGCTAAGAGCAAACCTGGCTCACCTTCACAACAGTTGGAGGCAAGGAGGATATGTTGTGTTTACTGCTGTACGCAGTCCTAATGAAACACTGATGTGACTGATGTCTAAAACCGTTTAAAGTCATGTTTTCATCCTTGCAACCATACAAACGAAGTAAAAATTGATTCCCTGCTTTTGCGATAGCTTGTGCTCAGCTAGGGATAGTAAATCTGGGTTTTCGACGAAGACTTTAATAAATTTCGTTTTACCGTGCCCAAAAATCGCAGACGTAGAGTCACAGCCGCTGAAAGCTTGTAAAAATAGTATGCTTTTATCAGCTATGTTTTCTTTGAGGCCATAAGGTGAATAGATCTGTTATGGAACTTTGCCTTTGCTCAGCGTCATGAAGTAAACATTGGCTGATTGAGAAAGCGCAGTTAATAAAATTAATAAACCGATATCTTCGCCGACAATATACACCGATGGATAAATTGATGCCATTTCAATTGCCATACGAACGATGAGACAGTCTGCATCTTCGTCAGCAAATAAAATTTGAAAAAATAAAGCAATTTGTTTAAAATATATTTTTTTTTTTTGGGTGGTGCATTATACGATTTTTTAAATATAATTCCTACATCAATCAAGACCCTGAATATTTGAACAGCCTAGCATAAGCCCTTCAGACGATATGAAAGGGGATTGTTTAAATTTCAACAGTCGATAGTTACCCATCAATAGTAGTTATTAAATGCTGTAATGTTAATGTGTATGAATTTCTCAAAAACTGCACACAGTACGAAACAGAGTAGAAGAAAAAGGTCTAATAAAGCCATACTTCAGGGTATAAAACTTATACTTACAAAGGATCGTCCAATTTCTCAGTTCTGGCTGCTATATCTCTCTTCTTTTCTCACTTGGTGAGCTAATCGATAAGTGGTAAAGTTTAGAGTTCTTTCATTCCTAAACAAGGTCCCTCTCAATAATCAGTTTGGCGAAGGAATAGCTGATGCACTATTCTCTCACTGTCAGCGCAAGGTTTCTTGGCGTTACGATAGAGTCTTAAGTTTGAGCAGCATATTGTAGGACCAAAAGGTTATCCTTTTGCTGTTATGTTAATGTTATTTGTTATTTTTTGTTTAAACACTTAAGGGACTCTCACAAAAAATTTGGTTCATTATTTATTCATAAACCCATCTTAATTATAATGAAAAAAATATGTACCTAAGCAATTTGTATAAGATCCTGTTCAGAAACCACATCAGACTAACATAAATATCTTAGTTCCAGGTCACTGAAGGCACTCAACATGGTGATGCATAAGGCTCTATTCACCTGGTTCATTCTCCTAGTATTTTTAATCCTACTATGTCTGAGGCTAGAGGCGAGGACACACTGGAACTGGTTCTTAATTTTCCTACCCATGTGGATATATGACCTAGTATTACTTGTCGAGTCATTATTCCATATTATAGCTTCTTTTTTTCACGAACGATTTAGAGATGTCTTCAAAAATAAGAATATGCTTTCGTTTTTGATAGTTATTTTTTTAATTGCTGGACAAATTATGTTATGTTTAAAGTTAGAATATAAATCGCTTGAGTTGGAAGTTATACATGTACTGATCCCTTTTTGGATTTTATTGCCTTTGTTAATTTGTGGAATAGCTGTTTCATTATTTAAAATACGTTATTAATTTATTGTATGCTTCTTTAAAAAACGATATTTTTTTATTTTCTATTAGAATATATACATAGAACAAAAATAAAGTTTGTACAAAAAAATTGCTTATAACTACTAGTAGTTAGATAGATGAAAGAGTTTTCTTTTCTGTGGGAGTCAAATTTGGATGCCAAACGTCCACAATTAGCACAAGCCTAAATTCAGTCCCATTGTGCCACACTTCATGTTCAAAGCTATCGTCAAAGATTATTATATCACCTTCTGTCCAACTCCTAAAATAATTTAAAATTAAACGCAATTTTTAGATGAACTGAAAAACTCTACCTTGTTTCTTCTGCAACTCTAATGAAAGTATTTGAAGGTACTTTAAGCCCCAAATGTACTCTCAGTCTACAATTAGTGGGTCCGCAATGGGGCCACACATGTGTTCCAGGATGCATAACGCTAAATTTACTTTGGCCTCTCCTACAGCCGCTAGCATCTACAAAATTTTGGATAATACCACAAGTTACAGGACTCCTTGCGCAATTTTTGGAAAACTTTTGTCCTCTGGCAAATAACTCTAATTGCTTCCAGGTGCCAGTGTCTTTTAAATTTTCAGCTTCGTCTCGAAAGTATCCTTTTTCGTTTAATGCTGCAAGACCTTCGTGTCTAATTTGTTGCCAATTTTCTTTCAAGGCCGCAAATAGTTTTTGGTAGGATGGTAGGTCTTTGGATTCCCACCAAGGCTTTGCAGTTAACCTGTCTACATTGTAAAGTGATCTTTGAAATTTTGATTTAAATAATCCTTGTTGAACGCCTTCTTCGTATAACTTAAATATTAAAGACCTAATAATAATTGATTGGTTATAATTTAGTATAATTTACTTTGATTGCTTCATCATTTCTGTTGAGACGGGTAAGCGCATCGCCTAATTGAAAGTAAAATCTGCCATCGACCACACCAGGTGCTTTGGTTTGTAAACCTTGGCTCATATAGTGGATGGAATCTTCTAAATTATTATCAGCCGTTTTTAAAATAAATCCATAATGCACCAAAGCAAATCCATCGTTTGGCCATTTCGATAAAACTTTTTTTAATGTAGATCTTGCTTCTTCGACACTGGAAATATCATTTTGTTAGATCTTTGCAACAGCTTGAAGACCCAAAATTCAAAAGTACTTACAGATTAATTGTTAGATATGTCACTGCTAAGTTGTTTAAATAAGTAGCATTTTCAGGAAATCTTTCAATTAGTTTCAAATGCGCCGCAATAGCTTTCTGGTATTGCCCTAAAATAATAATACTTCTACAAATTGGCCATTTGAAAAAATTCACTGGGTAATTATGTGATCAACGTGCAAACATGCAAAAGATGAATCTCTAGTCAAAATGATTATATTTATTAACTGTAGGGAATCCAAATTCCTCTGGTATCCTATATTTTCGAGTAACAATAAAATAAACCGTGTCGAATGCTTTTTCAATGATACCGATACCCAACATGCATATAGTCCAATCAAATAGTATTTTTGGTAGGAATGTTTTGGCGTAGTTTTGCTTTTTCCATTCTTCATGTTTTTTGGGGTACAGAATCTGAATCTGAGGTTTGCTAATAAAATTTCGTGACGCAACATTGAAAAAAATGCAAAAAAATAAATAAAAAATGGTAGTTTTGGCAGTCTTCTGCGTATAACTCGAAAACTATCAATTTTTTGGAAAAAGCAACTCGATTCAAAATGACAGCAAACAAAATTTTCTATAAATTACATTGCTTAAATTTTTTTGTAGGATAAACTGTTTCTTCGGCTCAAGCGCTAGTTGAAAATGGTCGTATTTTATCTATCTCCACAAAAACCCATATTTTAATATCTATGAAACTGTTATTTATTACCAAATAATATTATTTTCATCACTTTAATATTATATTAGGTATCATATTATTGATTTTTTTTTATCATACTATGATGTTATCTGAAAGAGGCCTAGCCTATATCTAGATAGAGAACGGCTAGGAAGAACACGAAGAAGAGATCATATTATTCCAGGCGTTTTCTCTTGGAAAGTCCTGGCAGAAGATCGGGTTCTTCCATAAATATCGGAGATTGAGCTGGAGAATAAGAGAAATTATGAAAAGCAAACTTGTGATTTGGCTATTGGACATACCTTCCACATCGTGTGAGCTTTCTTCTCCAGACTCCAGACATTTATTGGTCTCTTTCTGCGGTCCCTTCTTCGTCAATCTCAACGCTGTCATCCGGGGAATGGACGTTCTCACAAAACCCGTTGCATGTTGTGCATATTGACGAGCAATAAAGGTCTGTCTTCCTGCATCCACAATTTCGCTGGCAGCCTTTTTTGCATTTGCTAGATATGCTCTGTAGTATTGAGTCCGGTGCTGGTTTGGACGTGGTTGTAACGGGCACAAGATCACTGTTGGTTTTTTCCACCCCCACTTGTTCGGATTTTTTTGTTGCTTTTCATCGGATATGGTTTGCCCAGATAACGACTGCTGCACCTGAAAGTACACTCTCAGTGAATGTTCTCGAGCAGCAGTTTCAGTGGGAGGTAGTGCGGCAATGTTGGGTTTGCTTTTAAAGGATGATGATATGTAATGCCTGTATCTCAAATCATTCAAACTAGTCTCCCGGCCTTTCCCATACAAAGCCATGAGAAACATGTTGCCTGCTTGGGCAATCTCGTCCTGGTCAGTTCGAGGATCTTCGAAAGTCTCAATAATTGGTATCAAGTCATTATTTCTTTGCAGGACTTTGAGAAATTTTAATTTTCCCTGATTGAACAGAGCAGAAGTGGTGTCACAACCGCACTTATCGCGTGCAGGAACAAAATATGGTCCGATAGGGTTTTGTCCAGTAGGTGAGGATCGTAGATGGTGTGAGACACCTTTCCTTTTCCCAATTTCATGAAAGAGACATTTTTTATAGCAGGACTACACAGGCCAATTAAAATCACCAAAAAGTCGATGTCATTGTCACGCATTCATTTGAAGAAGCCAACTTGAGTGCTATTGTAATTATAAGAATATCAGCATCTTCGACTGCTTGCTGTGACTCAATGTTTGCTTCATTCAACTTTTTCCCCGTCATTACCTAAGCATTGTTAATGCATGTATCTATTCTTGGATTTCTGAAGCTTTTGCGGTTATGGTTATACAATTCGGCCCTTTCTAGAGCATTCAAATTAACAATATTTTCGAATTCCATGAGGCCAAAAATATTCTTTGTCGACTAAACTGAAATGTTTAAGGAACTTTGAGCTCCAGGGGGGGTTTATTTGAAATCCGTGCAAATCTGTCACATGCGACGCAGTCGGTCGAAATATGTGCGTCGACGAATTCTGAAAATTCACGATCGGCTTATTTGAAAGCTTGTGCATTTTGTAAATCGTGAATTTTCAAATTTGCACTACTCAACTTGGCAACGTGTCCTGTAAAAGATTCTAACCAATAACATTGTTAGAAAATTTCATATGACCAAACGGAACGATGCATTGAAATGTCAAATTTGAAATTGTGACGCATGTCAAATGCAATTTTGCGTCTACGAATTTAGCGAAATACGTCGACGAAAGTTTCAAATAAGCCACATGTGCATTTTTTTGAATTTCACCGCTAAAAAATGCGACTTAGTCAGACGTATTTGAATTGCACGTTTCAAATAAACCTCCCCAGAGGTAGAAAATGGGGGTGCATTATACGAATTTTCAAATATTATTCCTACATCAATAATCCCTGAAAATTTGAGCAGCTTAGCATTAGCCCTTCAGATGATATGAAAAGAGGTTGTTTAAATTTCACTACACCCTGTGTTTTGGAAACGACGCACTTCCGACCATCAGTGTCCTATCTCAAACTACTTCTTTATGGTTCCTCTATACAGGGTGATTCACGAAGCCCATACTAGTTTGAGCTTGCGGGTGGGTGGATTAGATGCTATTTCTACTAATCCACCTGCAAACTGGACAACTTCTAATGCACGAGCTACGTAAATCCACGGTGTATACCCCAGCATTTTTGACCAGTTGAACAGGGGCACCCTGTATAAAGGAAATAAAATAAAACTGAACAATAATCAATAATACGTCTATTAAAATTTAAAAATAAAAAATAAGACAAAATAATAATGCATTACTTACTTAGTTTATCCTTATCGTCGAAACCATAAAAATCTTGATAATAGTAATGGATAATTAACAAGTACAATTCAAAAATAAGTGACTTATAAGTACCTACTTTTAATTTTTTGCAACTTTCAAAAAAAATTCCGTGAAATCGGGACGCGTCCCGACGTTTGGTACATCGGGACACGGGACAAAATCTCCAATATCGGGTCTGTCCCGTGAAAATCGGGACGTCTGGCAACCCTATTGCTGTTGCTTCCAGGCGTACAGCTTCTGTATCAGATGAACAAAGCTCCAATGAAGACACTATGTCAACTAATTTTCTTGAGTCGTACTTCTTGTACAGGAACACTGCCAACCCTACCAAAACAGGTGAGATAAACGATCTAGGCCTTACCGCTGCAACAAGACTATGCGCCATCGCTGTGCTCTTTTTCTTCTAAATATCATGGTCCCCACGATTTTTGTTTAGTACAACTGTTTCGAAGAATAAACGGAGAGTTTCTGGAATGAGTTATTCATTTTTTTCTAAAAACTTATCAGGTGGGGGTACTGTTCTGTGTCATTAGCCTTGTTGTTTATTATTTTATTTTATTTTATATTTTAATAACTGCAGTGGTCTGGATTTTCAAAGAACTTCTTTTATCACGACAACTTTTACAAAAACCTTCTGCATGACATACTCATTTTATATTTTGTCTTTTAACACACATTCTTCAACTGCCAATACAATGATGTCAAATCAACTAATCAACTTATATTTTATAATTATTATTTAAACTAAACTATAAGGTTTTCCCAACACCTTGTCCTAATGATTATAAAATGTTATCACTCCAAAAAAAAAAATGTATATAAAAAATATAAGAACCTATATTTAACTAATACATTCTTATGTTTCACAAATTAAAGAGAATTTAAAGCTTTCGTAAATATATCTGCAACATTATTCACTGTACATATATAATCTATTTTAATCAATCCTTCTTTGACTTTCTCATGAATAAAATGATATCTAACATCTATATGTTTTGATCTTTCGTTGAATTGTCCATTTTTAATAATACTGATTGTACTTTGATTATCTACATTTAAGAGGACAGTTACATTTTTCAAAAACATGCTTTCTAAAAGAACTTTTAAGTACAGTACCTCCTTTACGCTTTCAGCTGCTGCTATAAATTTAGCTTCCGTAATACTTCGGACGGGTATTATAAAACTACTTTGAGAGTTAACTTAAAGTTAACTTCTGGAATTACATGTAAATCAAAAAGTTAACTTCAAGTTAACTGTCAAAGCAGTTTTATAATACCCGCCCTTAATGCTGTCACTGGTTGTTTTCTGGAACACCAACTTACTGGACCATTACAGTAGAATACTACATAGCCTGTATGCTTTTTCTTGTCTGTTTATCCCCTGCATAGTCACTGTCGCTATATGCTGTCAACACTCCATCTTGTCCATTCTTTTGATAAGTAATTCCATTTGTTTTTGTTTCGTTTGAATATCTCAAAATTCGCTCCACGTTGTTTTAACATCTGCCTTCAATGGATTTTCCAAATTTCTGCTGCAAAACCCAACTGCATATGCTATATTGGGGCGAGTTTTATTTGAAAGGTACAAAAGACTGCCCACAGCTTCACGATAAGGAAATTTTATTTCTTGTTCAGTTGTAAATTTTTCCTCATACTCTGTGATTGGTGTACTTGCTGGTTTTGCATTCTCCATTTGGAATCTTTCTATCACAGTTTGAGTGTAGCTCTTTTGGTCTAACTTTATCCAGTCTTCACCTTCTGTTATATTTATTCCCAAGAAACTGTCAATATTTTCAAACTTCTTTATCTCGAAATTTTCCTCAAGTTTGTTCAATAAGTTGTCTATGTCTTCTAATTTTTCTCCAACAATTAAACCATCGTCAACGTAAATGGCTAAAAATAGATTTCTTGTTTGATTTTTAAAAATGCACTGGTCAAGACTAAGAGGTTCCATGTTATTTTCCTTTAAAATTTTTGTAAAGCATTCGTTCCATCTCATTGGTGCTTGCTTAAGTCCGTATAGTGATTTCTTCAGCTTGCGTATTCTTCCTTCTCGTTTTTCATAGTCTTCAGGAATATGCATATAAATGTCTTCTGTAATTGTACCATAGAGGAAT